TGCGAGCTTTGCCTCCACACACACCTTCGTTGTACGTCGCGTAGAGCTCCAATTATGGTCGCCTTTCCTGAGTTACCGAATTGCAAGGGAATCTCCGGTATTTTAGGAAATTGCATTTTTACCCCTTCATGTTCCTAAATTCTAAAAAAAAACACGTATTTTTTGAAAAGACGCGGGATTTTGGGATTTTAAATGTAGAATTTCCACCGTATAGAGATTCTGATGGTTAATTTAAAAAGATGTCCCAAAATTCACCAAGTTGTGGCGTTTTGAAATTTTTTTTAATAGTTACCGAATTGCAAAGGGATTTCCGGTATTTTAAAGAAGTGCATTTGTATCCCTTTGTGTCCCCAAATTCCAAAAAAAGCATGTATTTTTGAGAAGACGCGGGATTTTGGGATTTTGAAAATATAATTTTCACCGTAAAGGGATTCTGATAGTTAAGTTAAGAAGATGACCCAAAACTGACCAAGTTGTAGCGTTTTGAAAACAAAATGTCTAATATATTGGAAATCGACCAAAGGATGGCGTTTTGAAAACAAGTTTCTCTGAGAATTCCGAAAGAGCCCATTGCCCAGAAAATTTTGTTCAAAGTTTTAGGTCAAAAAGGTTTTGTAGAGGTTGAAGGAGTTTCCATCACCAGTAATTTCGAATGGTTCCTTAAGCTATGAAGAATATATGTATGAAGGCGCAAAAATCCGCAAAGGTTTGCCTAAAATTATTTTATTCGCTCCCGAAAACGTCTTCGCTGTCTACCGCAAAATATCGTCACATTATGTATAAAAAGGTTGCATAGGTTGGCAAGGTAAGGGAAAATTATTGTGAAACGTGTGTTCGTCGGGATATGATTTGAATTAATAAATTTCTTATAGCATCGATGATGCGCTAAGTGTATACCACCGAGCATATCTGCGAAAGTTATGCCATCCTCAGAAATGCAGGTGCAGGCAAGCTCGGTCCCTAAAAAAATTAGGCGGGGTCAGGTCTTCTATCGTGAAATTCGCCTTCAAATAATACATTTGGAATTTCATGACAGCCATGTTCAGATAGTCATCGCTCTAGATTCCAGGGTTTTCAGAAAAACTTCCTTATAATGGCCACCTCAAGCATCACTGGAAAAAAAAAACACATTGGTTCTAGAGTCCAGACTCTTAAAAACATCGACAAGAAAAAATACTCTTGATTCAATCGGATTTTTGCTTCTATCAAGAACCAAGCCTCTTAATTTGAGCGGATTTCCTTTTGATTTCAGCAAAAATCTGATTGAATCAAGAGTCCTTTTTCTTGTCAATGTTTTCAAGAGTCTGGACTCTAGATCCAATGTGTTTTTTTTCCCGTGATCGAAAAACAGCATTAAGTCGGCGGACGAATATTCGGCGTAACAATCATTTTATTATATATTTTTGCGGAACCGAAAGGTATTTTTTTCATTAAACTTCAACTTCAACGTGGCGTTTGAGTTTGTCGCGTGACATGGCAACTTCACAGGAACCCAGGGGACGAGCACGGAGGGTTGAATTCACTCTTGTCCTGTGCCACCCAGTAATTTAGCCGCCTTGATTTCGGGTTTGTCCGCCCTCTCATTGCAGGATGCGTTTCATTCTCGGTTCGCACCTTGTTGCAATCAGCTCACACCTTCCTCGGAAGCCGCAAAGTATTTTTATCCCACGGCAAACGCTCACGCGTGACTCGGCGTGGGTCGGCAACTGAAAATTCGAGACGGTGTAAAATTGAATTTTCAAGATTGTATTTTATTCCGTCCTACCCTATTTTCGCTCCTTTTTCTTAAATTTTTGACTCACTTTATTTTTTGTCGGATCCTAGTGATTTTAATTATTTTGGTTCTCTGTTTCAGCCCCCGCAAACGGCAACTTTTCTGAAGAGGTGCCCGTATCCAACGAAGCTCCAGCTCAACCTGAAGTTTACGTGGAGAAAGATTTTAGTCATACTAGCTCGAATGTGCCTGGTGAGTAAATATACCAAGTTCGTTACTTCATGTTTGGTTCTCAGACGAAGCTAAACATTTTCCTGCGGGAACCCTGGGGGCCTAGGGTCAAAAATTTTTGACGGGAATGAGCTGTATTCAAAATGTAAAACATTCGATCATGAGCACCATAGCAGTCTCTATGACAATTGAATCAGCTATTACAGAAAGGGCACAATCGACATTTTTTTCGAAATTGAGTTTTTTGCGGTTTTCGCATTAGTGTATGTAGACACACCCTGTAGTGCAGACAGGGCACTATATTCGCATTTTTTATGTGTTTTTGACAGGGGTTATGTTTCTCACGTAGAGCAGAAAGGGCACTGTTGCAGCAATATAGTGCCGTTTCTGCAGTACATGCCCACTGGGTGCGCGCGCATTGGCAGCGGCAACTCGTCGTTTGTTTTGTTTTGATACGATTGATAGGTTAGTTTTGCGTTTCGAAACGCAGTGATCACGCTACACGCTTCACTCACGCTGAAAATGAAAGGAGTGAGAATTGAACCTTGAGTGTAGGAAGTGAGAGGAGCCCTTAACAGGTTGGATGAGGAAGTAGGTAGAAGATTACTACGCTATTGAACCTCAAAGGATACATTTTTTTTTTTTTTTTAAATTTCTTGACTTGAAATAAGCCAGAAATATTTTTAAAATTTACATAGCTACGGGCAAACCACATGGTGAAAGTTCGAAATCGCATACCATCAATTGCGACATTGCCAATTTTATTTCGTCTTCTTTTTTTGTTCTTAAGTATTCTCTATTAAAATTTTGTGTAAACTTTCTTCACACCATCAAGATTGTTTTCGGAAAATTTCATGGGAAAATCTCTATTAGTTCTCTTAAAAAAATAGTATAAAAAGAGAGCAGAAATTTTGAAACGTTGCAATGGAGATGTACAATTTCCAACTTTCGCTATAGACATGCATCATTGCCATACATTTGAGATGAAAAACAAGGGCTAAAATAATTTTCTGGCTTCATTCTATCACTCTTTATGGCTCCTTCCCCCATGTATTTCAGAAAGGGCACTAATGCTCTTCCTTCAAGTGTCATTATTTACAACCCAGAAAGAGTATCATATAAAAATTTTTTATGGAAATTGTCAGTCTACTTGGGGGACAAAAGAAAATATCGAAAATTTTTTTTCCAAAAGCTTATAGTTTACTCAAATCAGTTTTTTGCATTTTCTGAACAGTTAACATTTCTGCAATAGTGCCCTTTCTGCAATATGTGATTCAATTAGGCCCTAGGCGGACTAGACCAGAAGTACAAAATTTCATATAATTGCTTAACAATTCTACACCGGACTCAGTTTGCCATGAAATGCATAGAAGCAATAAAATCTTAATTTCGAAATTTTGGGGGAAAGTCGAGTCAAATATCGAAGTTACCTTCAGAATTCTCGAATAATTGTTGCGGGTTTCATAAACAACCGCTAGAAAATTTCACAGAAAATAAATGTTCTCCTTCCATGAAATTCCATCCCGGGAGATTTCATTTTGCACCTGTTCAGAACCTCTGGCCCTCTCCTGAGGGCGTCTATGGCTTAGGATGGTTTTTAAAATTCGGGTGTCAAAACCCGAGCGCCATGTAAAATTTCTATGTCCGTTTGACAAGGCGGAAATCATAATAATTGAATCATTGAGAACGAAAAAACTCCAACTCGGTAACTTAAAAATGCTCAATTTTCATTAAAGAGAGTCAGTTTTCAGAAAGGTAAGTGAAGTTAACGCATCTGTTCCAACTTGGACCTTTAAAGTGTCCTTAAGTACTTGTCTTTCGGCACCAAAAACCTTTTTCTTGCACCAACTTCTTCAACTACTGTGTATAGTTTGGCGTGTGTCTTGATTTTCATTTTTTCGAGTTGGTGAGTTTTCGTTCTCACTGATTCAATTACGAATGGGAATACGGCAGAAGTCGAGCCTGATTTCCACGAAAATCTTGAAGTCTATATCCTAAAAAATTCGAGTATTTTTTCTACATTCGTATTCAACGGGGCAACGCGGCCCCTAATTTTGATACCTCCGAATGGCGGAGTAGGATGCACATCGCAGCGTGCAGTGCACTGGGAGCGGCTTCTCGGCGAGATGGAGCGATAAGCCAGGGACGCAGGGACACGTCCTGGCTCGAAGTTCCCGACAATACGTTTCGGGATCGATTGTTCCCGCGGTCGGCGGACCCCGGGCTGGCTCAAGTGCGTGCACTTGAGATGAATCGAAAATGAAGCCATTGTTTAGCACTCCCGAAAACGAGCATCCAACACACCGCACTCGACGCGCCACTGATACTCCCGTACTAAGGAAAAACGCCGTATAAACCTTCAGGCGTTGCCAAATTTCCTCTCATAAAACAAGAATTTCCTGTTAAATTTTTTTATATTTCCCTCCCAATTTTTCAGATAATTTTGTTCGCAATCTTACCCAAAGATTCTGAAAATTGGAAGGAAAAATATTCATAACTTTCCTCAAAAATGATCATTTTATCGAAGGAAATTTGGCAACTCTCGAATGTTCGTACGGCGTTTTGCCTCAACACGGCAGGATACCCCACCCGCGCCGCCCTCTCGAGGCGCTGAACACGAGTGCCTCTCACCTTTGACGGCTCAATTCGTCGTCCCTCTGACGTAAGGACGTATCTCAATCATTGAATGAGCCCTGGAAAACATTGGGTTATATGATCGATAGGGCTCATCTCAAAATGTCACGTCCGTGAGGGGAAATGGAAGTTTCGCGGCTGCAAGGCTGGTTCTCGGCAGGGTTTCGAAAGTTTGCTATTTCGTATCGAATATTATTTTATTTACTTCATTTTTTAAAATAAGGAATAGAAGAGTCGAGGAGAGGGAATGAGAAAACGAAGTGGATTCCAAGTGGGAGAATAAATAAACTCTTAGTTTTAGAGCGGCAGTTTTTATGGTTGTGCAAGTTGCACGGCTTTGGCTACGTGATTCTTAAGGTGCCAAAGACAACTTAAACCAAAACGCCTTCACATTTTCAGGTATGCAATGCGGACATCCCTTGAGTTAGTATGGTTGCATCCAGGCGCTATTATCAACTTCACATCTTTGAACCTCTTTCAGTGTCTGTCAACACAAAACGACAGTAGTGAAGAAAGGGTTTCTCTGGGAAGTGGAGAAAGAGAGTAAAAAGACAAATAGGTGGAAGAAGCGTACAAACCTCTATTCATTGAGCTAAATATTTACATCGATCATGTCGCACGATGAAACCATTTTTGGTCCAAGTCTAACCAGAATCGTCCTTCGAATGAAACTTTGGTCGATGTAGCAAGAACCTAACCCAAGCTTTTGGTGATGACGTCGCATTTTCTGGGGACTAATTTTTTTTTCCTGGTAACCGCAGGCTGATTATTGAATTTGGGGAACGAAGATGGGCAAACGAAGGAGACAGGGAAATGGAACAATCCTACTGGTTGAAAATGGTGGTTGCCATAGAATGAGAGGGATTCACTTAAGGGTCTTTCGTGAGTTGGCGTTAGTTAGTCAATTATGCACTCCCTATATCCATTGCAACCACAAGCTTGCACCAGTAGGATAATTATATTTTCTCTTTGTTCATGTCCATAAATTGCAGTAATCAGCTTGCAGGGCCTGAAATTGTAGGCTCCTAGAATTGATCCTAGAATTTACCATTAGCATTGCAAGAGCAACGATTCATCTCTCTCCATGCAGGGTGTCTTATCACCATCCAAAAATCCCTTTTAACCCCCTTCATCCCTCTGTTACAGTTTCGACGCCCAACTCGGAGGACCCGACCTACATGGCAGTGCTGATCGGGGTGCTCATGGCGTTCATCATCCTCCTGGCGCTGGCGATCTTCCTGATGGTCTCGCGGCATCGGCAGCGCAAGTGCTTTGCCTCGCCACTGGCCACGAAGACGGCGCTCTCGGCCGGGAACCACCAGCACCTGTCGACCGGGAGTTCCTGCGGGACGGGGACCGGCGGGAGCTACAGCGGGAAGGAGGGCACCATCGTGTCCTCGTGTCTCCCGCCCCCGCCCCCCGCCCCGCCCGACGCCGTCCTCCTCATGGACCGACTCGTCAAGCTCGACGACTACCAGGAGCCCTACCAGGCCCTGTCGCCCTTCTACAGTTATAGTAATGTTGTCATGCAATCTGTCAACAATAATGCAGCTGTTCCTGCTGGTAAGTTTTTTGTGTTTTCTTCAATTTTTGCTTGCAATAATGTTTCCGACAATTTTTCACGAAAATTGTCTCCACTACAAGGATTCTTATCAATTCGATTTATCAGGCAGGATCCTTGAGTTCAGAGTATCTGCCGTTAGTAACAAGCACTGGGAAAAAAACACATTGAATCTAGAGTCCAGACTCTTGAAAACATTGACAAGAAAGAGGACTCTTGATTCAATCAGATTTAAGCTTAAATCAAAAGCAAATCCGCTCAAATTAAGAGGCTTGGCTCTTGATTTAAGCTTAAATCTGATTGAATCAAGAGTATTTTTTCTTGTCCATGTTTTTAAGAGTCTGGGCTCTAGATCCGATGTGGTTTTTCCAGTGAGTGGAAAATGTTAGGAAATTCGACGTTCTCAATAGAAAACCAGAAAGGAAACAGGAAAATCAGTAATTAATTAGGAAATTCTGAGTGCCTCTAGCAGTTTTCGAGAATTTTTCAAACTTTTGACTCATTTCATTGAATAGGTCGATTTTTTTAATGAGACGCGTGTCAATTTAGTCGTGCATAAAATCGGGAAATCTCGTCTTAAATATTAGAAAAACTCAGGAAAATCCGAAATTGGGGGAACCGTGATGAAATCCTCCTTAGTTGTCTGATCAGAGAAATTAAGTCAGACACGTTTTTAACACATTTTTTTCGGTGCTCTTTGCTACTTGAGTACGGAGCGGCTGTGACTTGGAGTTCAAATTTTCGGAAAAAGACAATCTTAATGGAAACATTCTTACCCTTATTCAAACTGAACTTTAACTTCTCCACCTCTTACGCCGAAATATTCCAAGTTTTCTTTCAGCATCTTACTCTCCGAGCACTCCAATCGCGGCGACAAGCATTACCAAGAAGTTGGGGGCGAAAAATTCGAGTCCCGGTCTATTTTGCTTTGCCTTGGAATAACCTCGTATGAACTTTCAGACCTTGCCAAATCTCCTCGGATGAAATTCGAATATTCATGAGAAATAGAATAATTCTGCCCTGCTAAGTAAGAGCACCGCATGTACATTCAAGAGTTACCAAATTTCATCCAGTTAAATGTTTAATTTTCAGGAGGAATATTTTCTCTTGAAGTACTCAGATAATAATTACGATCTAATCGCGATTGAAATGCTCTGCAAAATTGGAGGAAAAATATTTACAGATTTCTCTGAAAATTGGTATTTTAACTAGAGAAATTTGGCAACTTCTGATGGTTTATACTGCGCTTTTCTTAGTACGGCAGAATTCTCTTACAATACACTGGGAAAATAAACAGATTGGATCTAGAGTCCAGACTCTTGAAAACATTAACAAGAGAAAATACTCTTGATTCAATCGGATTTTTGCTTGAATCAAAACGAAATCCGCTTAGATTAAGAGGCTTGGTTCTTGATTTAAGCTAGATTCTGATTGAATCAAGAGTACTTTTTCTTGTCGATGTTTTTAAGAGTCTGGACTCCAGATCCAATGTGTTTTTTTCCCAATGTAGCTCACAGAATTGTATCCGCACTTTGATCTAAAGTATTTGAAAATGTCAAGCAAAAATATTCCCAACTTTTCTGGAAAATGAATATTCTATCGGGGGAAATTCGGCAATATTCAGAACGTACATACGACGTTTTCGGCATAAAGCTGCGGAATGCGGCTCAATTTCACCCGGGAATTCGGGAGTTTTCGGGGCAGAGCGGGAGCGAGCGGGACTTCGAGTCGGGCTCCTCGGCTGCGGCTATCAAAGTTCCTCGGGACCTCGGGACACCGGAACCGCCAATTCCGACCTAACAACTTCATAATATTCCGAATTCTCGCGCTTTGTCCGCAGTCGGCTCCCATTCCGATCACCTTGTCCCCCCCCCCACCCCCCNCCCCCCCCCCGAGCCCCCCTCACTATCGAATGCGCCGCCTTTTCCGGCCCAACTCTCGGTTTCGTCAAAGGGTGCAGATAGGGCGCATTACCGGATCCGGGAATCCAGGGGGTGGGTTATTTCACGCGGTTTGCGTTGTTCGAGAATTGTGGCTCCCTGCCTCGGAGGGAAAAGAATGGAAGAAGAAAAGGCACAGTTATTTCCCCATGATCCATACACTGGAAAAAAAGGCTCCCTGTCTTGGATGGAAAAGAATGGAAAAAGAAAAGGCACAGTCATTTCCCCATGATTCATGCACTGGAAAAAAAAAACACACTTTGGATCTAGAGTTCAGACTCTGAAAAACATTGAAAAGAAAAAATACTGTTGATTCAATCGGATTTTTGCTTAAATCAAGAATCAAGCCACCTAATTTGAGCGGATTTCCTTTGGATTTAAGCTTAAATATGATTGAATCAAGAGTATTTTTTCTTTTTAATGTTTTCAAGAGTCAGGACTCCAGATCCGATGTGTTTTATTTTTCCAGTGTGTCGTCTTTTCACCAGAAACTTCTTACGTCTTATAGTGGCAAAAGTTTTCATTGCTTTTGCCAGTATCTGGACGTATTATACTGCTAAAGGGAACCAAGTTCGTACGAAGTGAAATGAGTAGGAACTGTAACACACGAAAACCCCATATTTCCAGTTCATTTTGCTTTAATTCATTTGCACGTAGTTAACATGAGCATTAATAGGTCGAATGGTGTCGAGTGTCGACGCGACACCAAAATTAGCATCTGACGCGATCCTATTGCAAGAACATGAAATATCAGCATGAGTAAACTGTGAATACAACACCTGTAACTACTGCATTTCCCACTTCTTTTTAAGCAAGTCTTAGAGCTTTAAGAAAGCAAATAATGTAAAAATAAAGAAAATAGCCTCCTTTTTTCCTTGATAATAGTTTTTACATGTAATTTTACATGCAATTTTACATGCGTCGATTTTATTGTTCTGATCAATGGGAGGCTTGAACTCACCGTCACAGAAAAGGTCGATTGATCACGATAGAAGTAACAATTTCCCATTTCCTCGCCGTTTGAAACCCAAAATTCTGATTAGAACACCCGTTTGATGGTGCGGCAGGGCGGCAAAACTTCATGAAAAATACAATTCTGAAATTTCACGTGAAATATTTCATGAAATTTCAGAAATTTATGAAAGATATTGAAAAATATCGGTTCCTTTTCATGTTTCGCAAAATGTGAAAATGTGACTTTCTTCTATTTTTGTGTGTTGAAGTGCGGGTTGCATACTCTGGCCCCTGAAATATATGAAATATTTCACAGCCTCGTGAAATTTCATGAAATATTTCACTGAAATTTCCAATCTTTCATTTCTTTCATACGTTTCATGCCACCCTGATCAAACCATCCAACCCTTCTCATTCCACCACCTTCAAAATCACCTTTCAACCCTTGACTGGATCGTTACAATACCTTCTACGAAAACAAGGAGGATCCGGGATCCCCTCTGTTTTTTCGTGGAGTTTGTTGTCGAACGGTTGCTGGGTTGCGTGACGGGGATGGCAGGCGGGCTACGCGCCGAGTCCGCGGAAGTTACGAGTATCGAGATCTGGCTTCTGTTCCATCCTTCCGTGCCAAAGCAAAACCACACATCTACTCCGAGTTAACCCTTGGGGTTACGTTGTTTTACCGGAGTGGGGTCAGCCCTCCCGGAGGACGGACGAGTGAAAATAATTTCGCCGAATTTATGGGACTGCGCCGCGTTCTTTCGTGCCTCTTTCCGCGATCGTAACTCGGCCGAGTCAATGGTGTTATTAGCCACTCGCGGCCGGGCCTCGGGCCGTGCCGAAGAAGGATTTATTCGGCCCTGCCGCTACCGCTAGCGTCGAAACCACTGCTGCCGAGTTCCCGGGGATATTCTCGGGATAGGATGAATATGCTAGGATACGCGCGGATTTTCGGGAATATTTCCACTGGGATTTGTGATAATTTTACTCTCTCGCACTTAATTAGTTTTGGAGTACTCCTTCTCGCATAACCTCGCACATTGAAGGAGAAAATTGGAGGTTTTCCATTTCCAGGAATGTTTGCCAAGGAATTTCCTGCTGAATTTTCCTTTTCGAAAAACTTGATGGAGATGCAAACAGGCACAAGTTTTACTCGCAATATTAAGGGTCCCTAGGTGCGTTCCCTAGAATTCAAGAAAACTTTGATTCTTCGGATCAACGCATGCTTTTTCAGCCCCCCTCCCCCCTGTCCTTTAGCACCCCGAATGCGAGGTTTTCTAAACGCTTTTCCCAGGTAATTTACCTGAATTTATAGTCCCTGTTTCAGGGTTTCAAGGATACGCTCGATTGCTCGTCTCTCCGCGTATATTCCCGGTATTTGGAAAGATATAATCGAAGTTACTTAAATGGACCATATCTTTGCAAAAAGGAACTATATTCCCAGGCTCGGTTTAGAAAACTTATGTGCCATTAGTTTCCCTATGCAAATAAGCGTTGTTACGTATGAGCCAGAAATGTAGTTCCTAATCGCAAAATGAAGCCCAAATGTAAAGTCTGTGCTTCACTTATCAACGAGAAAACCCTTGGGGTTTTCGTGTGTTTCAGTATCAGTTGGCGTTATTTCAAACATCTCCGAAGCGTTTGTCGTCAATTTTGAACAGTATCCGTGTTTTTGTCCCCACCAATAAGCTTGAAAGTGGCGTAAATGGATTGATATGAAAAATGGTGCCCACGTTCTCATAATTATCTCAATTTTTCAACTATAATTCGAGTTTTTTTCCCAATATGCACCGAGATCGTGAATGTGGCAACACTGTTGATATTTTATAGTACGCAAAGGACATGCACTGCGGCGCTACGCACGCACGGAAAACTATCATTATGCGTTGAATTCCCCCTCCCTCGCCCTCGCCCGGCGCTTATTTATCTTTTTGGGTTGACTCTCATTTAAGTCCCTTCGCAGAATAAACAGCGATTTTGCGGCTGATAGCTCCGCTTCATGTTTATGTTTTAATCAGCACGCACGGAAGGCCACTCTCGAGATTTATGGCGCTTCTTCAGTTCCTGTTTCGCATTCCCTCCTCATCCGTGACTCCCCTGTAAAAAAAATGTCTTGATCAGACCGCGAAGTAGAGACTACATAAATGAAACGACTCTATCAGGGTGTCTACCGTCAGTAAGAACTGGAAAATCTCTGAAATTTTGACGTTGTCAGGATAATTTAGGAAAATATTCGGGAAATCGTTCTTGTATCAGGAAATTCCGAGTCTGGCAAGAATTTTCCAACTACGAGTACATGCAGTTTAGCCATGGAAAAGTGCAGTATTCCAATCAATTTATTGAATATTTTGGTGTATAAAATCAGACGAGTTACATTTTATTCACGCAAATAATCAGGAAAATTCAGTTAAGATTTCAGGAAAATATCAAGAAAATCCAAAATGAAATTTTAGTCGACGCCCTCTACTCTCAAAAGCAGGAATCAAAGAAAATCTGATACTCCGTCATAACATGTGCCACCGGAAAAAAGTCGCTTGGATCTATAGTGCAGACTCCTAAAACATTGATAAGAAAAAATTCTCTTTTATTCGATTGGATATCTAAATTAAGAGGCTTGGCTCTCGATTCAAGCAAAAATCTGATTGGATCAAGAGCTTTTTTTTGTTTTTTTGTTGCGTTTTTTTGTTGCGTTTTTTTGTCAATGTTCTGAAGAGTATGCTTTTTAGATCCAAGCGACTTTTTTCCAGTGAAGTGGATGCATGATACCAAGAAATATGTCACTAATTTTTAAGGTGATTTCATACATGATTTGATTGACAGTTCCCATTTAAACTCTCTTGAATCGATAGACATCAATTCCACCGATACCCTTACGTCGATTGACATGAATGGCTCGGAAAATGAAAAGGTGATTCGATCGACATTTTTCATACATTTTCTTCCTCTGAATTTTCTTCCACATGCTCACTCTTTCCCCTCGGTTGAATCTAACCAATCTATTTTTGATTTGTCAACAGACGTCTCTTACGACTACGCAGTACCTGAAACCGGGACGATCCCGCTGCTGAGTCCCGAAGCGAACCCGCCGCTGCCCTGCTCCGGCGACAAGGACAGCCTCTTCTCCAAAGGCTCCAAAGGCTCCTCCAACAGGAGCATAAAAGACGAGTGCAAAGGCAAAAAGGTAAGCTCCATCAACCCACCTCGAAATTGCATCTCCGTAATTTTTCGCCGCGCCTTCTTTGAACCCGGACCCACCTCCTACACAAGACAGCAGTAACTCCACCCCGGAATGAACCCCGACAAGCATGAACACGAGTCGTAGCTGCGGCTCGTGGAGTTACTGCTGTCTCGCGTAGCTTCGCAGAGGCGGAAATCTTTTCGTGGAAAATATGATAAAGGATAACAACGCACGCACTCGAACATTCCGCCTTGTCTCTGCTCGCGAGGCAGCGTGTCCCTTTGTGCATGCACGGCGTTTGATGTCGGATAAATATTTTATATTTCGGAGCCCGAAATTAATACCGGGTTACGGGACGGCGCCTTTGTGCGGACTCCAAGTGCACCGGCTCGCCCTCGGGTGCAGGGCAACGTGCAGCGTGCAACGTGTGGCGGTATGTGGGCGCGTACGTACAGTATGTGCTTTTATACTGCCGTGCCAAGGAAGAACGCCGCATGAGCCTTCAGACGTTGCCAAATGTCCTCCGACAATAACCGAATTTACTGGGAAAATTCTGAATATTATTTTCCAAAATTTTCAGACAGTTATCTGCGCAATTTGATCTAAAACATTTGAAAATTTCGAGGGAAAATATACTTAAATTGCGTCAAAAATACATGTTTTATCGAGGTAAATTCGGCAACTCTCGAATATTCATACGACGTTCTTCCATAGCACGGTAGAGTAATCCGCGCGAGCAGGAAGCGCGAGTCTTGTTTGTCTTCGCGCGAGCGGTGTTTGATGCCGGCGCGAGCGGCTCCGGCGATACGCGGCGCACGAGGGGCGAGCGTTTTGATTCTATGGTGAAATGAAATTGGATCGCATTTTGCATTTTGGAACTACATTGGATCTAGAGACCAGACTCTTGAAAACATTGACAAGAAAAAATACCCTTGATTCAATCAGATTTTTGCGTAAATCAAAAGGAAATCCGCTCAAATTAAGAGGCTTGGTTCTTGATTTAAGCTTCAATCTGATTGAATCAAGAGTAATTTTTCTTGTCGATGTTTTTAAGAGTCTGGCCTCTAGATCCAGTGTGTTTTTTTTCCAGTGCACTGGTTCCTATTAGTAATTTTCCAATTATGTCATCAAGTTTTTATCAAGTTTGACAACTATTCTGACTCTGATTTCTTATTTCTAGCCCATCAATAAATCCATATTTCTATGAAAAACCTAAATTATATAGCATTTTCAAATCGCCAAAATTTCGTCTTTACACCCCGTGTGTGGCCGCTCGCTCCTGGTACGTAGCAGTGGCGAAATTCTTTATTATTTCGCTCTTCGAGAGCGAGCGTGCGGAGCTTTTGTGCCGGGATTGAGGCATCGCTCCGTGCTCTTTGACCTGCACCCCCCCCCCGCCCCCGCCGAGTCCTCGACCGGGCATCCCCGCTGCCCCGGCCCCAGCGGAGAGAGTAACATGATTAATTTTATTTTCCGGCTCTGTATTTCCCTCGATTTTTCTTGGCCCGCCAACTCGCGTGTTTTCCCTCGCCTCTCAATTATTATTACCGCCGGCCGGAGATATTTCTTCCTTCGCCTGCTAATCCATTGATTTGTCTGCGGGGCTCCGGGACGAAATATCACGAAGTCCTCGTTTTATGTGCAACGGAGGAATTTCTGTCGGGTCTCGGGATTCGCGATTTAACCTGCCGTCGTAGCGTAAAATCTCGCTAAAAGTACGAACATTCTTAGTACTCGGAGAAAGTATGTGGACGGTGAAACTGCCAAACCACGTATCTCGGTTTGCGACGTTGCATTCCTCCTGTCATCAAGACAAACTCTCCATGCAAAGATACGGAGCAAATACATTAGCAGGGTTGCCGTGTTTTCAGCTTTTGGAGTCCCCAAATAAAGTGGCAGCCCTGTCAATGTATTTGCCTCCTATCTGTGCATGGAGAGTTTGTCTTGATGTAGAGGTGGACTCTCAGAATAGCGTGGGATATCCCCTCCATTTTGGTCTCAACTTGAGAGCTTTTTTGAGCTTTGGAGTTGATTTCAGAAAAAATCAGCGGCACCATCGTGTTTCTTGCGCACTTTCACATAAGAATCAACAGTCAAATCGCAAATTCCTCACGCATGCAACATCTCCATTCCACTTAAAATTTTATGGCAAATAGGACGAATCCGCTGCTTTGGTAAAAAATGCACGCACGATTGAGTTTATGAAATTGCGAATTCCAAATATATGTAGCCACCTGCATGTTCTATCCTATCAAAAAACTTTTAAATCACTGTTCACATCGAAAGCTAGCTAGTTTGCAGGTTCCATTACTTTGTTCCTGACCACACCTGCGCCAATTGTATACTCACAACCCAATCAATGTAATCATAAACACACCACGACACTTCCAACAGCGCGGAATTACCATAAACGCAGCAGCGGCCGGAAAAATCATCTCACCCCATGAACGGAGCCACGAGGCGAAGACGACCCGATCTGGGAAGCCCTGGGTGTTTCCGAACCGCGCGCGGACGGATTATTATTTATGGCGTGATAGAATGTGCGGGTTTCGCACACAGCGATATAATTAAAATCGCTGAAAGGAGAGAAGGTTTCAGCGGGCCGCGCGCGGCCGCGGAAAGTAAACGCCGCTCTCCAGGAACAGGAGTCTCCCCGGGAGGAGGGGGGAGAGGGGATTTATGGGGGCAGGCGGGGGAAGAGACTTTGTTTCTTGCAAATTAAATGTAGCGAGTAATAGCCGACTCATGGTGCCGAGGCCAGTAAATGAGAATTGAAATATTTATATCTCACGGTGGTGTATCCCGTCCCGTACGCAGGACTCCCCCTCGGATATCACTCGCAACCCCCCCCCCCCGGTTTCGCTCGTTGCCCCCTTCCTCCCCCCGGTGTCGGTTCTTCACCGTACCTGTGTTGCGTTCGGTTTTCCATACTCTTCCTTTTTTAATTTATTAAAATTACGTTTTATCCCTGAATAAACGATGATGCCTCCTCTTTTTACACGTTCATTTCGTGAGGAGTTCATATTCAACAACAACAACGAGGAGGCGTTTCTCGTTTTCAAGAGCGTGCGTAAACTTTAGTTCTACGTCCGACCCGCTCGTTGGAAATGTTTGGACCTCAAGAGATATCATTCTCTGTATATCACGTACTGATATCTAGATACCTGTTTGTATGCCCTGTTTCTAAAATCATGATAGAATCTCAAAATGGAACTATATGTCGGAATTCGCGGGTCGATTATTGACATTTCTAGACAAAGCTATAGACAAATACATTTGGATGCTAAATTTGGCTGCCTATGCTATTAAGGACGAAATTTTGATGCATGGATCGAGCTAAAAGCTGACATGAAAATAGACAAAGAAGACAATACTGGAAAAAAAACACATTGGATCTAGAGTCCAGACTCTTGGAAACATTGGCAAGAAAAAATACTCTTGATTCAATCAGGTTTTTGCTTAAATCAAAAGGAAATCCGCTGAAATTAAGAGGCTTGGTTCTTGATTTAAGCAAAAATCCGATTGAATCAAGAGTATTTTTTCTTGTCGATGTTTTCAAGAGTCTGGACTCGAGATCCAATGTGGTTTTTTTTTCCAGTGAAAAGTGGTGTGGCAGGTCGACGGTGAAACTGCAAAAATGCGTACCTCGATTGCAGTGTTTTAAATCTCCTCTCCAATTTTATTCTCTTAAATAAAAGGAGACCGAACCATCATCATTGTTTGAAGTTTTCACAGAATATGCATGTTAGAAAGAGGTGAAAAATCACTGGAATGTTAAAAAAATGACGATCGGTGGTTTTCCATGTGTGACAAGAAGTTTGCAACGCCGCAAACCGAAATACCGCAGTGTCACCATCGAGGTGCATTTAAGAAGGAGCCCGGGGGTTAAAATAAAAAATAAAAAAAAAAACAGGAAAGTACGCCAGGTAATATTTGAATTTCTCAAAAATAAAATGGATTTATAAAAATGCATCGCAACTTTTATGTAGTCTCCCTCAAGTACGTAAGAGGGGGTTGGCAAGATTACAGAAACTTTTTGGTCACATACTCATTCATGGAATCTACGAAAACTTTTCCGTAAGTTGTGAGTTGAGTTGAGAGGATCAGAGGGGCTTTTTTTCTGACTAGCACGCATCATACTGCTCGGAGCGCCTTGGCGTCGTGTACGTCTAATTTCAACCCCAGTTTCAGAGCCCTGTGCATGCCATCTTTTCCGCCCCATATGTTTACATTTCAAAAGCTCGTTATCCAGTTTGTTTTCTTTCCTTTATGAACTAAGTCGATTATCGTTGCCTAAAAAAGAAAAACAAAAAATATAGTTATTTTCGTTCCCTTGCGTTATTTTTGCCTCTCCCCCTATGATAGCTCCATATCCTCGTATGTTGTTTTTTGTCCTTAAGAAGAAAAAAATAAAATAGCATTTCAGGTTGGCATATTCGCAAGTGAAAGGGCTGAACATTTCTCGGCCAAATTTGAGGAACTGTCGGTGACTTCGACATGACATGTCTAAAAATTGTATAAAGTTGTCAGTGATGCTAAAAAACTGTAGAGGAGCTCGATAATTAAAAATAATGCATAACATTTAAATGGGAGCAAAGTTGGCTCCGGTTTTCCAAACCGAGCCGACAGTTCCCGTTAATGAATCCCTCGGGATGTCTTCAGGAAAAATCAGTAAAACCTGAAAATATCAGAAAATTCGATGTCATCAGGATAAATCAGGATAAGCGGTCATAGTTCAGGAAATTCTGAGTGCGGAAAGCGTTTTTCAACTACGTGCAGTTTAGCACATGCACAAGTGGAACATTTGATTCAATTCATCAACTATGTTGGTTTCTGAAATCGAACGAACGTCACTTATCCTTCTAAAACAACAGGACATTTTTTTTAAAATATCAGAAAAATCCAAAATAAAATTTTAGTGGACACTCTGCCCTTTATCTTCCATTTGATCGCGTTGAATAAATATCGACTGCATTTCAACGAAATAGATTTCTCTAGCCTTAGAATGTTGGTCTTCTCATAAAACAGAAACAAATTTCCGAAAGGCAAGACTACCTTTTCGTGTCGAATAACCTTTAATTTTTCAACATACCGAGGAAATTCCCGAGTGTCTCCGGCATCCTCGTATCCAGCGCTTAAATTGCCGTGCGAAGGAAGAACGACTTATGATCCATCAGTCGTTGCCAAATTTCCTTTGATAAAACAAAAAGTTCCTAGTAAACCTATGAACATTTTCCTTCCACTTTTTCAGATAATTTTGTTCGCAATTTCACCTAAAGTTCCTGAAAATTTCCGAATAAAATATTAATATCTTTCCTCAAAAATAAACATTTTATCGAAGGAAATTTGGCAACTCTCGAATGTTCATACGGCGTTCTTCTTTAGCACGGCAGTATACCATATCGATCACGTTGCGATGCGATGGAAACATACGCAGGCGGTCCGACTTCAGAAACCATGCAGGTCCCCCGTAAAGGAGGGGGCGGAGAGGGGGGGGGCTGATAGGGTTAGCTCCTGAGATGATTTATGTATTTCCAGTTCAACTGTCAACACTCACAACGTATCACTCGGCGAGATTAATACAAATTACCGGCCCCGCCCGCAGTTGCCAGATCTCTCAAAAATCCGTATTTATTTTCATGTACGAAATCATAGAAAACGCGGATTTTAATGCGTATATGGCAGCGTTGTTTCAAGACATTGCTACGATCCTGATCCTACGTTTTAGATCTGCCAAATTGGGTGACTTTTTAATGAGTTTATGTGGGGTTTCGATTGGGATAATGTTGGATTTTACGAGGCTTGGCAACAGTGTTTGGATCCTACTCACAATACTCTGACATTCTGTCACTCCTCGTTTCCGGGCCGAAATTTCAGCGCCGTTTCCGCCTCCTCAAGACCGCGTTACGCCGCGTCGGCCGACTCAAAAATTAAGCCCCGCAAATAATTCAGGAACACAGTGGTTCAGGCCCTAAACTGTGGCTTTTAAGCCGAGGGAAACTGATGACGGGAAAATCGGGGGATCCCCCAACTTCTCGTCCCCCTCAATCTCGTAAATGAGCTTTCAAGTAAGCTTTTGAGTGTGGTGAATTGTTCCTCGTCCGTTAGTTTGTCAAAGAAGTCTCCCTTCATGTTTGAAATTTGATCCGCCGTTTAAGCATGTTGACGTATTTACGGTGATGGAAATTGTGTGAAAATGAATAAAATCGAAAGGATCTGTGTAAAACGGAAACCCTATGTACATAGTTCTATTCTATCAAATTCATTTTCTCATAGTTCCGTTTAGAACGAACACGCGCGATTTACGAGTTAAGAGGAGCAATTCTTTTATCATTCTTTCTTATTATTTTTAGTGATTTGCGCATAGCAAAAAAAGTTGCAGCTCGATAATGTTGGGAGGATTATTTAGGGTTGCCACAGTCAGGGAACACCTGGAAACTCGAGAAATTTCAGGGACTGTAATAAAGTCAGGGAAAACCGGGAAATGTCAGGAAACATGACGAAAATGTCAGGGAGAATTTGCTCACCTTTATTTCCTCTCTAGAATGGGTTTGAGTTTCCGAACAACAAATTTTGCTGTCATATCTTCAATTGTCAGTGAATTTCACCGAAATGTGTCAGATAAATTAGGAAAATGTCTGGAAATTTCATTTTCCAAATTTTGTGGCATCCCTAAATTTATCGTGGTTTCCTGAGATCCCGCTTTCTAGTCCCAAAAACTTTTAAAACCTCTCCATGGACCACTAGACAAGGTACGAATTTAAGCATCCTATTACATGTTTCCTAACCAGAATTTCACGTGGAACACGATTCGCGCAACGAAAAATTACCGAAATCAACTCCTAACGAAGATATTAACGTTTTGATTTCACATTGGTTACGAGGAGTTTCAACTGCCCGCTCCCAAGAAACTCAAAGCTCTACGTGAGTCAAATCGTGCACTAGAACGGTTTCAGCAAACTTCTCAATCAAGCTATGTTCATTTCCCACCATGTGCTGTTCAAACTATAAACAACTTGCAATAGCTGAGCTAAAGTGTCAAGATTGAGGTAGCCAGATTTTTATATCGCTGACTGTCATGATAACTAACGTTCAGCGCGCGATTTGAATCACGTATAGCATTGAGTTTTCATGAGCGGGTGGTTCGAATTCACGCATCAAGAATAATTAAATATCTTCGTAAGGAGTTGATTTCGGTAATTTTTGTTGTGCGCATCGTGTTCTACGTGAAATTTCGGTTGAGAATCATGTATCAGTATGCTGAAATTCGTACCTTATCTAGTGGCCCATTGGACTGAATTTTGCAATTTGGAACTATAGATTCTGGCTCATCTGAAAAAAACACTGATGTGCCTGGAAACCAATGGCACATGTGTTGTTTTTAATCCGGGCCAGAATTTATAGTTCCAAATTGCAAAATGCAGTCCATTGTCAGTGAATTTCACCGAAATGTGTCAGAGAAATTAGGAAGATGACAGGAAATTTCATTTTCCAAATTCTGCGGCATCCCTGAATTTATCGTGGTTTCCTAAGATCCCGACTTCCCGTCCCAAAACTTTTAAAACCTCTCAATTCGAGCGAGATGGCGCCACCGAATCCACGGACAAATTCTCTGGGAATCTTTTCGATGTCATCACCGCACTCGCGATGCAAACAACGGACGAGCGCGTCGAAAGACGAGAGAGGCGGGAAAATTCAGGGATGTCGGCGCGAATGGAGTGCAAATTGGGGACCGACGGGGGCGATGCCATTGAGAAACCGGGAGCGCAGCGGGCCGGAAAGAATCCCGGATCCCGCTCCCGAGTCATCGGTGCTCTCGCTGCTCGGCCCTCGCTTTAGTTCAATTAACACGAGCCATTAAACATTCGTCGTTTTTGGCGCCAATCAATATCCGCCTAACCAACTCGCCCCGCGCGGATCGCGTGTTCGAGCCAATCGCGATCTGCTCGTCTTTTGCGCGGCCGCTCCGCAGAGCTTTTAAGCTCGTCACTGCAGTGTTTGGTTACCGCAGGTCGTCGTTCCTCAGACGAAGGAACGTAACTCCATTCCAAGGTTGCCAAATTCACTAAAGAAATTCAATTTTCAACACTGTTGTATCGGTGCAATTTTTGTTTTAAATATTACTCATTTTCGTATGAGATCAGGTGAAATTTTCAGCTAAAAATGCCCATGATTCTCCCGTCGAAATGGAGGTGTTGCATGTGTGAGGGATTTGCGATTTGACTGTTGATTCTCTTGCAAAAGTTCGCGAGAAACACGATGGTGCCACTGGTTTTCTCTGAAAGCAACTCCCGAACTCAAAAAAAGCTCTTAAGTCGAATCCAAAATGGAGGGGATATCCCACGCTATCCTGAGAGTCCACCTCTACATCAAGACGAACTCTCCATGCAAAGATAGGGAGAAAATACATTAGCAGGGTTGCCGTGTTTTCAGTTTTAGAGTCCTCAAATAAAGTGGCAGCCCTGTCAATGTATTTTCTCCCTATCTTTGCATCGAGAGTTTGTCTTGGTGTAGAGGTGGACTCTCAGGATAGCGCGGGATATCCCCTCCATTTTGGCCGCAACTTAAGAGCTTTTTTGAGCTTGGGAGTTGATTTCAGAGAAAACTAGTGGCACCATCGTGTTTTTCGCGAACTTTTACGTAAGAATCAACAGTCAAATTGCAAATTCCTCACACATGCAACATCTCCATTTTCAACACTATTATATCAGTGCAATTTTTGTTTTAAATACTACTCATTTTCATATGAGATCAGGTGAAATTTCCAGCCAAAAATGCCCAAGATTCTCCTGTCGAAATTCATTGCGGGAAGAAATTTGAACAATGAAATGTAGTCACATTCTTTTGTGAGAGGACGACGAGATGGTGGCTTAGCGAATCTCAGGAGAGGGAGCAAAACTTTTTCTTGAAAAAAAAATCTGATTTTCTTATGCGCAAAGGTAACCTGAAAAATTAAGATCGGTCGGCAAAATTGAATATCGGGTTTCTTGAAGCGGACATACGTCAAAGGGCTATTTTGCACTGTTAATTGTTTGAGTACGTCTACAAATTGTTTTATTAGATCTCCAGTTTAAAATTAAGTTTGTTCATCCTAAAATTCTGACTTTTCTTTGCTTCATTTGTTACAGTCGCCAAGCCAACAAGAAGTTCTGAGCGCCTTGAAAAGGAGACTTGAACAGACTGTTGTGCCCGACTTCCCGAGGCATCGGCTACGCATGCTTTCCAAAATCGGTGAAGGAGCATTTGGCACGGTAAGTGTGCATTTTTAACTTTTTTGGTTATGCTTTTTTTTATTACCAAAGTTATATTCTAATTGAATCTTCGCCTTCCTTCTCAAAAGAAGCACGTTAAAAATTTGACTGTTAAAAACGGTATGTCCTCAACGTAACCATTCGTTACTTCTTTAAACTGCGAAGTTGGAACGGAAACTTACTCAGCTTATTTCTTGCAACTAAAGCTAAAACGGAAACACATTTTTAAAGCACATAAGTAAGTTCCTTATGTGCTTAATTACGAACGTCACTGACTTTAGTATTTATTTTGGGTCACAAAATATCGTACCTCAGAAAAAGAATACTTGTGTTAAAATATGCCGAGGTTGTTGTTCGTGTCGAGTCGAGTCGAGTCTCGGCATGCTGGATTGTAAACAGAGTATAAAACTCCTTCAATTGCGCGTGTAGGCAAACGCGCAAACACTCGAAAGAGCAATGAAAAGGCGCTGAGTAAAGGTGGGAATTGCAACCTCCGAGTCACTTTTTCTGAATGAAAGAGATTGAAAGAAGTTCATTTTCTGTCTCCGTTTTTTTTGCATCATACTTTTTTTTTTTAATTTTTCCTTAAGATATCTGAACATGGTAAATATGCAGTACCATTATCACTCGCCTGTAAGCACTAGTTGTGCGTGAAATTGACATATTTTAAAGTCTGAAATTGAAAAGGGTCTCTAGCTCTCCAGTGGTCTTATCTTTTTGCTAGTGTGTTTTTCCTCTTAGTCGACCATTCGTGATCAAGTTTTAGAATTTAAACTTAAAAATTGCCACCGAAACTGCATCTAAATAACGACTTGCACATATTGAGTGAAACAATACGCCGAGCAAGTTTATTGAACAAGGCCTTAATAACCACCCAACAGGTCGTTCAACATGCACTAGAAAATGTCACCTGGATCCGGAGTCCAGACTCGATAAAAAAATGGACAAGAGAAAATACTCTTGATTCAATCGGATCTTTGCTTGAATCGAAAGATATCCACTTACATTATGAGGCTTGGCTCTCGATTCACGCAAAAATCCGATTGAATCAGGAATATTTTTTCTCGTCAAAGTTTTGAAGAGTCTGGACTCTGTATCTAAAAAAGGACTTTTTCCCAGTGTGTCACCCATCGATCACCACCTGCGGGCTGATTATTAAAATTTATAAACAAAATTTTTAGACAAAGAGGACTGAAGGAGTATGGAGCGATCCTATTGGTTGAAATGTGTGGTTCCCATGGACTAAGGGATGAAATGATGGACCAATTGTCGGGTTTCTCGTGCGTTGCCGTTAGTTGACTAACTTACCCACCGTCTTTGTCAATTGCAACCACCCCCTCTCACCAATAGGGTCCCTCCATTTCGTTTTTGTCTTCTTCGTCTGTAGCTTTGTCTATCAATTTCTACCTACCGTCTTCGTCAATTGCAACCACTCGTTTCCGCCAATAGGATCCCTCCATATCCCTTTTGTCTTCTTTGTCTATAGCTTTGTCTATCAATTTTAATACTTGACTCGCAGCAGAGATGAGTTTTGATGCCCGGAAGTATCTTACGCTGCGAGAGGTGGATTTTGTCGCTGTCTATCCCGGATCGAGCCGTCCATAAAATCCAGAATCGACCTGTCTAGCCGTTCCTGTAGCAATGTAATCCCTCGCATTTAATATTATCGCATCGGAAACGCAACGCCAAAGGCACCCACGAGCTATGGTTAACTTATTCATGCCCGAAAAACAACTCTACCCGTCGTCGTATTGATTCATAACAGGAAAAGGGTGGCAACATTGCCGGATCTCGAAAAATTCGTCATGCGATTCTGCTGTGCCAAGGAATATCCAGGGTTGCAATTTGTAATGATAAATAAAATCTTGAAATTTCATGTGAAATATTTCATGAAATTTCAGAAAAATATGAAAAATATTTCTCGAAACCAAAGGAAAGGTGACTGCTTTCTGCGTTTTCGTGATTGTTAGTGCGCGTTGCATACCTAGCCCCTGAAATATGCTCCATATTTGAAACAACTTTGTGAAATTTCATGAAATATCTCACGGAAATTTTCAATATTTCATATCTTTCATTTCACTCGTGCAACGCGAGGAATATTGTCGTATGGACTTTGGAGCGTTGTCACATTGCCTCGAGTGTGATTTAAATTTTCCAAGAAAATTGTGAAAATTTTTCTTTCAAAGTTTTAGAGAGTCTTACGCGAATTTAATCTTTTTTAAAACGGGATTTCTTCTGTCAAGGGTTCTTTTGTAGCATTTCAATGTTGAAACAGCGTTTTTCCATAGGACATTAGACTTGGTGGGAAATCATCATTTTCCAGGCGAAGATACGTAACTCCATCCAAGAGGGTCCAAAATCGACACAAAAAATCCAACTCTATACAGGATTGTGATCGTATACCTTCGGTTCAAAATTTTTCTAATTGTTGCAAATAATCAGGAGAAAAACCACTGGAATTTCCAATTAGGAATGCTCAACAGTTTCCTACTCAAAATACAATTTTCAAGGAGAAATTTTGCAACGTTAACATGTATGTAGCTACGTTATTTTCTAAGGAAATCGACGGAATACGCGAAAAGTGGAAATCTGACAACCGGTGGGGTGGGAAAAATCATCGAGGCGGCGCGCGTGTTGGGTGGAAACCGTTGTTGGTGGATTGAGCTGTAATGGCGTTATTAATTCATAATGCGTTTAGACGGGCTGGGATAACGATATGTTTAGCTCCTAACCGTTCAATAATTCATGTGATTTCCCGAAAAAGTTGAGCAGTCCTGTTTCCGCGCTCTGTTTTTGCACGGCTTCCTCCCTCGATTTCGGTTTCATATTTTCCAAGTTCGATTTTGGTTCCGGTAGACGGCGAATAATGTAACGGTAACGCATCCTACCCGAGAAGCAAGTGCAGCTGGGTCCTATCCGCTAAATAACAACTTTTTCTGGCTTTATTGTTTTCCTGAAAAGTACTCGAATTCCAAAGCTTACAAACATTCATACTAAATGGCTGGAAATGTTTGGCTGAATTTGTTTTTTCCCCTTCTTCTACTGCTTCTCAGATAAGCTTTCTTCATATTAAAGAAGTCAATTTTGCTCACGAAAGCTCGGACGTGCTTTGGATTAAATTTAAGCTTTACATACACATTTTTTTTCGAAGTTCTTTGAATTTTATTGTTGATTTGCGTAACTTCAATTTGGTGAAATTCCTACCGCTTCCTTGTTTTTAATTCTTCTATACAAATTACCCATTAGCTAAATACTAGCCTAGCTTGTGCGCCCCTACACTATGCGGTCAAAACTGCAGTAGCGGCAAACGCATGCCCCGAAATGGCTAGCGGTAGAGCTGGTTTAATATTAATCTTCCATCTTCTTGATAAGGCGCAGGGATACAACTATTTGAACTCTCCGGAACGCGTGAGGTATCACGCCTCAATTGAAGGCGTTTTCGAATGTTCTGCATTTACATAACGAGATTTTCTGGTCCCATAACATTCGGAGCGTGGAAGAAAGGGAATGACTGATCATCCGAGCTACTGCCACGGTTACGCGCGCATCCCCTTGATTTGATTTTTTGTGCCTTGCTTTCGTTCCAGTTAATTATGAGATTTTTTAAAGAGGTTTTGCCTTAAAATTCCGAAATTCCTTTGATAGAACCAAGAAAAGATTCGGAAAGTCAAGGAATTTTGGCATGAGGAAACGGGAGTGTTTTCGGTATAAATTAGGGACTTTTAAATTTTGGTAAAATATTCAATCCAAAACCCTGGCAGAATCTGCATAGAGCGTATTTGTACGAGTGAAGTACTCTAGAGTAGCACCGCTTTTTACAATACTGCTTTGGCATTGCTTGTTTTGTTACCTTCTTTTCGCCATTCTCAAGTCCTGATTGTTTTTGTTCGCAGATATACGTGGCTGAAGCTGACGGGATTCCCGAATATGGAATAGCAGCATCCCTGGGGAAAAGATTAGTTGCTGTGAAATTCCTTCTTCAAAACGCAAGTGAAAAAGAAAAGTAAGAATACCCCTCGTTCGTTTTATTTATTCAATAATTAATTTTCCCTCAGTTAGTTTTGAATGCTGGAGACAAAACAGATGAACGCTGAGAGCAGCGCAACACACTGATTGAGCGCTAGAAATCTTGCATCTCTTAATGGTGAAAGGCACTCCGGCTTCGTTTATGACAAGGTCTGCTCCTGAATGCTGCTACTAGTGCTGAACGTGCGTGTTGCATTCGCAAGTAATGAAGGCGTTTTTCCGCCCAAGAACTCCCACTTCGACCCAAGCAGGCCTCAGGCCATTCAAATAACAGGCGTTGTGGTGTGGCATGATTTTTTGACTGACCATACCCTTTTCAACATCTTTGTCTTAAACCTATCACTTTTATTTCACTGAAAAGTTATTTTTTGGTGGCTCAGAAACGATTTCCCCCAGATTTTCTCTTACAAGTTATTTCTTTCCTCCATTTCTTTATATTTATTTATGTATTTATTTTTTCATTTTTTTTATTAATCAAGAAAGTTTTCGAAGAAAATCGGGGAACAGTTTATTTCATGGAGAATAATTATTCCTTCTGCTGCTTCCATCTCTATGTATTCTGTTCTTGGGAATAATGATTCGTTTACATTGATTCTATCTCAATTCATCCCGGTATTATATATTTTGAGAACTTCTTTATCGGATGTCATCTTTGAAATTTAAGGAGAATTTAATTTAAGTAGTCCACAATAAGTTGCTTTTAATATTTGATAGTTGAAATTACCCGTAATTATTTGATTTAATGATGATTCCTGGAGTTGTTGTTGCTTCTAATATTTGATAGTTGAAACTACCCGTATTTACTTGATCTAATGATGATTTCTGGAGTTGTTACGCCCTGTCAATTCACTTTGGTGAGCTTCGCAAACTCTTGACGACTTCTTAATTCACTTCTTTCAGAATGAATTTTCATCGGGACGTACGGATACTTGCTGCCTTAGAGGATGTCAATATTGCCAGAGTTCTAGGCGTCTGTACCCATGAGGAGCCCTTGTGTGTGGTCATGGAGTACCTGGAGCATGGTGACCTCAACCAATTCCTCAAGTCCCATGTTTTCGCCGAGGGTACACGAACATTGCAAATGGGAGTCAAAAGTCTTAGGTAAAAAAAACTTTAATTTAAAAGTAATTTCAGTAATTTTAAACTTAAACACTTTTTCCAACTTACGCCTATCAATCTAAGAATGTAGGTACAAAGAATAGAACTACAATGAGAGAAACAAAAACGCAAAAAAAAAGTGCATTTTTGAAATATTGAAATAGAAAGAAACTAAATAGGTATATAATTGATGATGATGAGAATATCTCCGAAATGCATCCGTAAATAAACAGTGAATAAACATTTCTAACCGTGGTCCGGTCACAATTCAGTACTTTTTAATTCTTGAAAACCTTGCGTGCAACTCGGCACGTATAAAAAAACTTTCTTCTTTGAAAGATGTATCTTCCAGTTTACGTTTTGAAAACTCATGAATTATTCCTCAAGTGGGAAGTACTGGGATGAACTGATTTCCTGTCCATTGAAGGGTTGATTTTCTGGGTAGTATGAAACTCCTCTCCCCATGTACTTTTTATTTTTTCCCTTTGAAGAAATTTAACAATCAGTGGTGGGTATGTAAAAGTGGCCAGAAATCTCATTTAATACAGAACATGCAATCTCTGTTTGGTATTTGCAATGTTTTAGAATATATTCTGGTGACCTTGCCATTATGAAGGTAAATTCTAATACGAAGATTTACTGAGATCGGCAAAGACATCTTTTTCTAAGTTTTGTATCTATTTTTACTCGAAAATTTACTTTTGTATTTTATGAAAAGAAAGTCATTTCTCTTTATAGCTAATTTTTAATTGTTGCCTAATGTGTCTCCTCTATACTTTTTCAGTTTCAACTGTTTGTTGTACATGGCAACTCAAATTGCATCGGGGATGCGTTACCTAGAAACCTTAAACTTTGTACACCGTGATCTTGCCACGAGGTTTGTCGCATTTTTTCACATACCTTATTTTTTTTTCCTCCCTTCTTCTTTTAAATTTCGGTATCATTACTAGTAAAGCTCTCTATGCATAATTGTTGCAAAACACACACCAAAAACATTTTCAAAGCATTTAAAAGCGAAATCAACTCTTTTCCCCGGTTTTTTGCACTCTTTCTTTTTGTAAAGAATTGAAAAAACTGTTAAATTATCTGCATAACCGAATATCATTTTTTATTTTTTTTTTGTAAAATAAGTGCTACTCCTGTTTCAACGTTTTACAGTCCTTGAGGTGATGTTAAATGTTAAATTTTGGGGCAAGAAGACTCTGCCTTTTCTAATTATTTGCATCAAATTTGCTTAAGGCTACTTAAAGCTGTTTCAAAAGCTGACTGAAATTATAGATTGTCAATTAAGCTTGTAATTAATCGTAAATTTTAGACTTTTTCCACAGAAAAATATTTCAGTCCAAATATTGTTCACATCCTCCTATATCTGAATTTTTGTTTATAACTAAACTAAGTACTTATTGTTTATATCATATTTGATTACTGAGCTTACTTTTTATTTTGTTCCAGGAACTGTCTTGTAGGAAAAGCATATCATATTAAAATATCTGATTTCGGGACAGATAATGAATATTATAGCAGTGATTACTATAAATTAGATAATGGAATGACAATACCTGTTCGCTGGATGGCGTGGGAATCCTTGTGTATGGTAAGGGTGCTCATATTTCTTCATTACTCAATTTCACTATTAGACTTTTAAATTTGATAATCTATCCATAAGAACCAGCAGCTATTCAACGAAGTATTCATTCATAATAAAATAGAATAGAATGGGTACTTTATTTACATCCTGGGTAGGATTTCACAAAGCATTCATAATAAAATACTTTTTTAGGTATCAAATTCCTACTGAAATTTTTTTGAAGTTTAAATTTTTTATTTTTAGGCAGCTACATATAGTGCAATCTGGTAATTGAAGATCGCACAGAAAATTTCCTAAGGAAAAACGCTGTATTATATTTGGACTTCGTCAAATTCCCTCTCATCAAAACTCATAACTCATCCATAACTCCCATAACTCATCATACAACTCAACAACTCCCATAACTCATCAAAATTTCTATGTCTTTGTACATAAAACATAAGATGTATGTAATACGATGGATAAACCATGTATAGAAATACATGGATCTTGTAAATATAAACACAATCATAATGTTTCTTAATGTATTTTTTCTCTTTCGATCCATGAATTGAGTTGTGTGAACTAAATTGTGTATTAAATGTGTACTGAAGAGTCTCTGTCTTTTTGCAGGGAAAATACACCACCAAGTCAGATGTTTGGTCGTTTGCTGTTACCCTATGGGAAATTCTGAATATGGGTAGGAGAAGGCCGTATGACGGATTATCAGATGCCGAAGTAGTGGAAAATCTATCACATCTAGAAACAAACAGTGGAGACTTCTTATTCTTACCAAGGCCGTCTTCACCATCCTGTACCAATGATATCTATGATCTCATGTTAGAATGCTGGAGGCGTTTAGAGTCTGAGCGGCCCAGTTTCCGAGAAATCCATTTATTTTTGCAGAGGAAAAATTTGGGCTATGCTCCACTGTGATCAACCTTCTTGAACTGCTGATTGCAATTTTTCCCGCTACTGTAATATGCTGTTCTCTCTTGATGTTCTCTACCTCATTGTACTGCACCATTTCTTTTATTATCTTCAGTCGAGCATTCATCTTATGTTGGCTAAAAATCATTTTTCCTCGCTAAACTTAAAACTCTTCTTAACAGAGGGAATAAAGTGAAAGAAATAGGCTGTTTGACGACTTACTCCTTGAAAACTACAATCCATAACACACAAATCTTTTCTCACTCAAAGTAATTCTTAATATTACCATGGTATCAACCGAATTTTTTTTTCATTATCAACCGAGTTTATTTAGTTGCATGTGAGCTCAAAGTTAGTTCTATGTATGGTGTTTGTGTGCAGACTTCTCAATAAATTGCAAGTGCAAATTAAAACAAAAACAAAATAATTTTGCTCAATTTTTGGATGCAAATCAATAAGCATTTAACTCACTGCCGCATTCTTTGAATCATGTCCAATTTTTCCCCTGAAATTAAGATCACTCGATGGAATGCCGTGTTTGATCGAACTTCCAATGATAAGTTTCAGAAATGGATCGGTAGATGGTATTTATGCATGAGTGGCTGAATTCCAGCTAAAATCACCACACTCATTGAGCATTTGATGATGCCTGATTTTATGTAAAGATAAATCAAAAAATGGGTCAATAGAGAAAGTCTGAACTAGGACCAAAGTCACATATTTTCTCTTTAAAATCTTACATAGAGAATAATTCACACCGCAAGCAGTTTGGAAATAAACTTCTGAAAGAGATATGAGCAAGTATTTTTAATTTGAATCGAAAAGAAGTTAGGTTTTACAGATGATGTCATGTATTTTTGCCATTTAATCAATGTAAATTGTAGAAAACCCTTATACCCTGTTCAGAAGCCGACTTGCAGGCCTCCTGTTGTGGTTTTTGTTTACCGTGCAAAATTTTACTGAGAAAACATGTTTAAAAGTGCTTTGATTCCTACTTTGTCTATTGGCCCATTGCTTACTAAGCCACAATTTTCATCAAAGTAGCTGTAGGTAGGTATACCAATTTCATCCATTTCTCGAATTTTAATCACTGCTATTTTTTTACTTTTTTATTTTTCTACTTTGATGAAGCAAGTACTTTTCTACAGTGTCATAAATTTTACCACCTAATCAATAAGTACAGCAATATATTTTTCTTTTTACAGACAGAATTTTGGCCTAGACCATAAAGAATTAAGATGTAACCAATAATTTTTTTTTTTTTAAAATTTTTACTGATCCCAATCACTGTTCATATAAAAATCTAGCAAAAATGAAATGCACTGGAGCAAAATTTGTAAAGATACATTTCTATTCGGTCACTCTCCAGCATCTAGAAAAAGGAAAGTGGGACAAGTTATGCAATTCAATCAAACATCTTATTTTGAAAAAGGAGTAAATGCTGTAAGGTCCTTGTGACGTTCAAGCTTTTTTCTAACAAACCTTCAAGTCATTAAGCTTATGATGTACTGAGAAACAATAAAAGTGTTGGCCTTTATTCTTCTGAAATTTTTGAAGAAATTCAATTTTCAAAGCATAGTTGAATAGCTCACACTCTAAAAATAGTAAAGGTATGTATCAATCTTGAATTATGATCGAAGAAAAACTGGTGCTGGGATCAAAACAGCATCAACATCTCCCTATGATACCCTTGAACGTTATTTTTTTACCGTACAAATCTCTATAATATTGAGATTTACTCTCCCTATCGGGAAAAATGTTAAAAATGTACATACTTTATAGAAGCAATTGTAGACAATCTGTTACTGTAACTCTCTGATTTTGTACAGTATCTCTGTAAATACTCATCCCATTTTTTATCTCAGCCCTACCTTTGTAATTATTTACACTCAAATTGTAATTGATGTGTCGATATTCTAAAGCAATACATGCCCAAATTCAAAGTTTGTAGCAAAGCAACTACGTAGTTTTGGAAAGCAAGTGGATTTTATTTGGCTAGCCTAAATAATACAAGGAGTTTAAGTAAGCTGGTGAACAAAGTGAACTTTATCAAGTTTTTAGAATGGGAGTGTCTTTTTCCTCTGAGGAAATACCAAGATAACTTAAATACTTCATTTTAAAAACAAAATGGAAAAAATCGTAAGGACTGATCTGAATTTTTTTTTTCTAGTAAAATTCCTGAAGCTCTTTGTCTTTAAATTTTTAACTGAAAAAATCAGATAAATAAAACCTGACATTGATTGTAAGATTCTCTAATTTTTAACACAGCCTGTCCAAAAGTTTGTACGCTTGCTTAAGTTGCCCAACTCAAAACTGGAATAGGTAATCAAACCTTTCAAGGGAAAAGAAAAAACAAACATGCTTGTACTATCGAACGACAAACAGAAAACAACAGATTTCTGTTTTTAGTCCCTGAAGTTTTGAATGGCATGCCTCTTTCTTTTTTTCTGTTTTCTTCCACTTAATTAAAAATCTTGAACTTTGTAAATGTCTTTAAAACCAATTTGTAAAAATCTTCACTGCACTTTCATTCATCACTTGTTCATTGCTCTGTGTGATATTGCCCTTTAATTTTAACCGAGGTTGCTCGTCTGCTATTCCAATAATCGTTTCAGGAATTTCCCAAGAATTGCGTCACGACAATAAACTTTTGAGCATGTTCACAACTTTCCTCTGATAGATTTTTGAACTCAGAATTCTTTATGATGAGTTAAATTGGTATTGCAAAGTTACATCTCCACTAAGGAAAGAAAAAACGAACAGACAAGGGGAATTCATCAGAATCTTCGGAAAAAAATGTTTTTCTCCTGAAAGCCAAAATCTTCAGTCTCCAGCGGAAGCTTTGTTGAAGTTAAATACCTACTTCAGAAAAATTCAGAATCCCTACAAAACCGTCACTTCATGTTTATTTGACGTTATTCAGAAAGTTAATCTGAATTCTTCAGAAAGTAAAGATTTTTGGCTTCATATTACGGAGACGCAACATCACAGACCTAATTCTCATTGCTCTGTTTACATTTAATTTTAATACTCACCAGTACCAAGTAAAAATTACTTCAGCATGTGGATTTTGTAAGATCCTTTGAATCTTCTGATGTGCGTGTATATGCTCCTTGTACCTACTTACTGAATTAGAAAATAATATTTTCTAGCTAGTCATAGTCGTAAGGATCTGTAAATAGGAAGTGCATTTCAGTTAAGCGATGTCCATATCATCTTTTTTAAATGCTTGTCACCTAACTAAAGAGTTCTTTTCATTCCAATTTTATGAGATTTTCTAAAGATAGGCATGTAGGAATGGAATATTGTATGTCATAGGATTTTTAAAATCTTTGTAAACTTCGGTGGGTGACATAGCTCCTGAGATAACCAGAAAACATTTACAGGAAAAGTATGATAGTTGAATCGAGGGGATATTTTGAGCTCTTGTTCAGGATTCTTTGTATTGTCCCATACTGCTGGCTGATAGACAGAGAAGATAGAAAAGAAAATGGAGCAAACCAATTGGTGAAAGCTTGTGGTTGCAATGGACAGAGGAGATAAGTAATAGACAAACTAACTTTAACCCACTAGAGTCAATCATTTTCCCTGTGGTCTCTCACAACTAACCGTTCCAACCAACAGAACTGCTCCATACTATGTAGGTCTTCTTTGACCAGTGTATCTGCTTTGTATATTAATGTCAATAATCAGCCTCCTGGCTCAAAAAAACCAACATGAAAACTGTCTAATATGATTTCTCAAATTTGGTGATAGAAAAGGATGACATTTTTTAAACTTGAACAACTAACTAATGATTTAACGAAGATAGGTTCGCAATTAAATTAGCACACTGAGAACCTGCCATCTTACTTTAATGCCCCCATGTATAAATCTGTATATTTTGTGATAAGAAGGTAAGTAGGTACTTACAATTAGTTGAGACTGTGAAATGATTTTGTTAATAATTTGTAATAGATTGTACATTATGAAGTTATGTCAAAATAAAATTAGAACATATCAAATATTTAATACTCGTTTCTTTGGTACTTATTTTCCTTTACCCCGCAATATCTTATCACTGAAATAATTACCCTCCCCCCTATAACAGTGTCATCTTGACTGGAGATAAGGGGCAATGGCAATCATGCCGAAGAAAATATTGTAGCCAATTTGAAATTAGACCCTAGTAAAAGTGAGTCAGGTTGACGTCAGGTTGATTCAATTTTCCTAGGGGAAGAATATTGCTGAGTCCACATTGTTCTGCAGGGAAATCAAAACTGATAACTTCTTAAAATTATGATTCTGAACTTCCCTAGAAGCATTTTGAGACTTTTTCCTCCCAAACTTTGGCTGTATGCGATACTATGAATGCTTAACTCTACAGAAAATCCTGAAAAAATAGCAAAAACATATTCCTGTTTCTGTTGTATTATGGAATGAAGCAAGGGAATGAGAGGCTTGGAGGACAAGGCGCATGAGTGCAGTTTTTGACAAAATTGAAGTAAGTATCAATGATTACAAGTAAAACTGGTCTCAATGCATATTCTGTGAAAAATTTGCTCCTGAATTCCAATTTTCAAGCATCAAGAAGTCAGTTTAAATTTTCTCTCCCCTGTAAGGATCTCTGTAATTTTGAAACTTCAAAAACGTACTTCTCGAAATAGCAAAAACTGCACTTATGTACCTTGTCCTCCAAGCCTCTTAAATGTGCTAGTTCCAGGGCCATTTTGCAGTGACCAGTTTCATTAGGAGGCAGAATCATCCTGGCCCTGTAAGAGCTATGCCTGTGGTCTATTATGACCGCACAGCTGAAATGAGAGTTAAGACATCCAATATTCAGTGAAAGCTTATTCCGCCGGATTGTCAAGGGACTAAGAGACGTTTCGACGTATGCGGCTTTCCGTCTAATCAGCTTTATCGCTTAGCATGAAATAAGCTCGGAAATTGGAGTTATGCAATTTCAAGGAACTTAAAAGGATTTGATTATCAATTTTCCTAATATTACAATGATGAATTAAAAATTTTAAATTTTTAAGAAAATTCTCAATTTTTATCTCTTTCCTCTCGACTAAGAATATCAAAATTTTTAAATGCTTACTTTTGTACTTCCAGGGCAAGATTAACCTACTTGCCGCCCATGGGCCGCCTGTTTTTGCCGCCCATGGGCCGCCTGTTTTTGCCGCCCATGGGCCGCCTGTTTTTGCCGCCCCCTTCTCGTTCGTTTTGAAACATCAATAAAACCATCAAGTGAACGTGCCGGAGGGGGAGAGGTGCATAAGACGCGTTTACTCGTGTAGGACACATTTTTAACGAAAGACCTGTCAACACTACTAGCAACAGCTCACAGAACTATGCGCAAAAGTTAAGTTCCGTAAAACTAAATCGGTGTTGACAAGGCCTTCCATTTGTAAGAAAAAAACGAAAAAATCATGCAAGAAAGAACATAAATGTGGTTTAAGGGACCAGCAAATCTCGTTATGCAAATACAGAAGATTCAAAAACGCCTTCGATTGAGGCGTGATACCTCACGCGTTCCGGAGAGTTCAAATAGTTGTATCCCTGCCCCTTAGCAAGGCGATGGAAGTTTAATATTGAAGTGGCGTTCCCGATTGGTTGTTGCACTTTCGACCTTTGAGGCCATAGTTTAAGGGCACTAAAGCCAGGATTATATACGCGATCGGATACTTTTTGCAGAGTAATTAAAAATTAAGAAGCAGGAGTAATTTAACTAAATAATAATAGGAACTCAAACAGCAATATTAAGCAAAACAATTTGGAAAATCTCGTCATGTAAATACAGAAGATTCGAACGCCTTCGATTGAGGCGTGATACCTCACGCGTTCCGGAGAGTTCAAATAGTTGTATCCCTGCACCTTAGCAAGGCGATGGAAGTTTAATATTGAAGTAGCGTCCCCGCTTGGTTTTTCGGTTTTCCTGTGCCGCTACTGCACTTTCGACCTTTGAGGCCGTAGTTTAAGGGCACTACAGCCAGGATTTTATCTCGCAAATGCATCATTTTTACAGAATAATTAATAATAATTAAGAAGCAGGAATAATGTATCTAAATTAGAAAAAAAAACTCAAATCAACACTATATAAAAAATATGGAAAATCTCGTTATGAAAATACAGAAGAATCGAAAACGCCTTCAATTGAGGCGTGATACCTTACGCGTTCCGGAGAGTTCAAATAGTTGTATCCCTGCACCTTAGCAAGGCGATGGAAGCTTAATATTGAAGTAGCGTCCCCGCTTGGTTTTTCGGTTTTCCAGTGCTGCTACTGCAGTTTCGACCTTTGATTCCGTAGTTTAAGGGCACTAAAGCCAGGATTGTAAAAAAAATAAAATTGCCTAGTTAAACTTGGCAGTGGATGATGTGGCTTGGTTCCTTTCTGCTAAAGGCGGTCCAATTTTAGGGTCGGCAGAGACCCGATGGATTCCCGTTCTTTCTTTTTAAAAACAACTGGTTGCGTCGTTTAAACGTGTTTTGATAAACATGTTTCGTAAAAATGGAAGACATTTCTGTCTTCACGTTTCGAGATTGATTTAATCAAGTTTATAAATAATGGAAAGCAATGTATGTCGATGGGCGAAGTTCAAAACCACGTATCTGCATTGCGGTGTTTTAAAATGTCCTGTTTAATTTTTTCAAAGAGAAAAAAGTCAACTTCATAGCTTGGACTAGATGTAGAATATTCTGCTTATTGAGAAGAAAAATACTTTTTTAAAGAATTATGTCTACTGGTTTTCCAAAGAGTGAGTCAATTATTTCAGGAAGTCTGCAACGTCGCATGAGGAGATACGTGGTTTCGCCCAGTAGCCATCGGTTCCAGGCTAACAGTTAAAATGAGACACCCGATAAAGCAGTTACTCAGCTCACTCAGAGGCAGCGAGAAGAGCCTTCTCTCGCAAGGGAAAGGAGAAATTTGAGTAAGTTCAGTGTGTTGACTCCATGGTACATAAAATTTTCATGAGTAAACTTGCAATATCATAAGTATAGTTTCATAACTAATTGGCAGTAACGCTTTTTTAAACGCATTATGTCTGGAGACTTAAACGCAAGATTAGAAAAGTAGAGAAGTGCTGAATGACATTGTCTCCGCTCGTTAAAAGGTACGAGTACTTGATTTTTTGACGGCAGATACGTTGTCTCTAAAGTGAGCTGAAAATTGGAGTATCTCATGTCAAAATAAAGTCTAATTACTCTATCTCCTGTATGCAAAAATGAATTGTAAAAACTTCCTTAATACGTTCAAAATTCGAAAAAAGTACACCAAAAAAACTCGGTAGTGCTGCGTTGAACGATTTTTAGGCGCACTACCTCCGTCCGCCTTTGGAGAGTCAACACATGGACGTGAAATTTATTGTTTGATGACCTTAAACAAACATTGAGAATTGAAAAAAAAAAAAATGTTAATTAGTCCAAACCTAGCTTAGAAAATTGCTTTCGGAAGATAATTGCCTCTAGGAAGGTCTTCCCACAATCGGCATAGTCAAAGCAAACAATCTTGAATCAAGAAACCATACTAGGTTAATGTAAATTACTTAGGTATGAAGGCAATATAAAGCGACGGTGTAGGTCGGCAACCACATAACTATGACTATGATACATAAATATGACTTTCCTCTCTCAACTTATATTCGTCTGTAACGATAAACAATGGGACGCGTTTGCTACGGCGCCTTGATACAACTATACAACTTCGACGGATGTCTGTATTGCGTTCAAAACATTGAAGGCGTTTTGACTTCCTACGCATAATACCTGTAGTTGATTCGATCGACAAACGCGTTGGTCGGCGGTAACGAGGACTTGATGCAACTTTCTACACTTGATGGCTGTCCGTATCGCACCGACTGAAGTGCGAAGCCACGTATCTCCATTGCGGTGTTTCAAAATTTCCTTTCTTAATTCATCTCTTCCATGAGAAGCAATCCAAATTCACGACATTAAATTTTGAACCAAATCCTCTGCTATCGAATACGGAAAATCATGGAGGATTTAAGTTTTATGTTGACCCGTTCCTCGAATGAAAAATACAATTTCTAAGGAAGTCTGCAACGTCGCAAATGGAGAAACGTCGTCTCTCATTTTGCCCAGAAATATGTATGTATTAAATTGAAGCCATTATGACTTTCCTCTCTCAACTTATATTCGTCTGTAACGATAAACAATGGGACGCGTTTGCTACGGCGCCTTGATACAACTATACAACTTAGACGGATGTCCGTATTGCGTTCAAAACATTGAAGGCGTTTTGACTTCCTACGCATAATACCTGTAGTTGATTCGATCGACAAACGCGTTGCTCGGCGGTGACGGGGACTTGATGTTTGATGAGTTTCAAAGAACTGCCGTTGAGTAGTTTCCCGTTTAAAAAATAAAATCTGACATGAAGTCTGCGACGTCGCAAACCAAGTTTTGTGATTGCCGACTTACACCGTCGAAAGGTCTTATCCCCGGGATCGAAGAGTGAGAATATCTTTGATACATGATCTCAGCCGCAACACTTGTGGTCTTTCAAAAATGGGAACTTTCGACCCTGCCCTTAAAGATTCTAGTGCCGCCGTAAGTCCTTACAACAAGTTTCATATCCAAGCAAGTATATGGTTCCTCATCTTCCTACAATAAACATCAAACATCCGGCTAAACAATTTTGAAGAGAAACCATACTGGATTGAAGTATACAAGTAAGTGTATCGCAACTTTTTATTAGTCAAAGTAGGAATGTTTCAGCCAACGTCACTGTTTTACGACCCGTGCGGCTACCGCAATTAGTTTGTACTTATATTCATGTGCATCATAATTTTTTGTTTCTTTCCTTATGAGTAAAGAAGAAGAGAGAAAACAGGGATTTCTAATGATCTCTATCGAAATGCGTGTTTATATGTAGAAGATCTCCTCTATCAGCTGTGGGATCAACTACAAAAAAGCAGCAGGAATATACTTGCGGATTCCATTAATTCTTTAGAAAGCTCATTCCAAGTTTCGAGACGCAATTTCAGAGCTGCAGACACGTTTTTCGGAGG